GATGCATTTTTTTCTGGAAACTCTTAAGTGTGGTTTAAACTAACACTGCAGACTGCATTTAAGTATATTTTTAATACTTAGTTTATATATATGTATAAATTAGTATATAAGTATATAKAAATTAGTATATAAGTATATATACTTAAATTTATATATACTAATTTTCTCCTCTTATTCCAACTAAACATTCGGGAGACAATCCCAGGCCAGGCCGCAGCCTGGGCCTGGGGTTGGATGAGGAGGCAGGAAAAGTTACCTTTGACTCAGGTTCTTTCACAATTCCCCCCTAATTCACTCCAGCCCCAGATTTTCTACACATGTCCTAGCATGCTTAGGGTATTTCTCCCTAGAAAGGAGAGATTTAGAGTCCTTTTTCCAGGTTGGAGCGRGAGGCTCTCTGGAACCCACTGGACTTTGCATCTAAGGGCGCAGCCGCCTTCGGACTTTGGCTCGGGGCTCGTGTGAACCTCGTCGTGCAGAAGCAGCCAGGCTGGGCTCTGTTGGCACCAGCTTTGGTGACACGCATCGGGGAGGTGTCACCCGAAGCAATAAGGATGTGGGGACTAGGGAGCCGGGGCAAGAGAGGCAGGCAGGGATTTGTTTGTTTAACTTTCACGTCTTCGCACTCAGCCTGAGCTGTTGGAAAAAATCAAGCTCTTTTATTTTCCTGAGTAATCACCAGTGATAAAGATATAGGAGGATCAAATTAGGCTTTGCCCTGTGCCTGCACTGGGATCGCATGGGCAGAAGCAACTGGAGTCCTGGAAAATAATCCTGCGGTTGCACCAGGGGAGGAATTGGTGCCTCAGAGCTCCCTCTGCACCGCAGAGCTAACCCGAGCAAAAGCCATTATAAAATTATTCACACAAGTAAATAAATATGATTCTTAAGCAAATAAGCATGATTCTTCACAGAGATAGGAGCTGATGTGCCGAGCAAAAACTTGTCATTTTGCAGTCGTTCGGAAATGACTACATCAACAAAAGTTCAAATTGAATCAGTTTGAATCTGTCTCAAGCAAACTGCAGGTCCATCGAGATTGAATACTGAGGGGATGAAATAGGATTCAGACTAGGAATTACAGCTTGTTATCTCATGAGCATCTTATTCTGGCTTTAAAAGAGTACAGCTTTTCACGTAGTGCTTACGCAGAAACGAAAGACTTTGCTATGGCAGGATTTAACCAAGATTTTCAAAACAATGTACCCATTATCTGATGTTATGTTCAACTGAACACGAAAATTACTTTATGACTCTAATAAACAGTTAGAGTTTGATCATCACACTGCTAGAGACAGCTCAGTCGCTGCAAAAAAAAAAAGGAATCCTTCTCAAGACAGGAAAGTTTTCAATGCTTTTAGTTTGGACTTGGAAATCTTAAGAAAATGAAAGCAATGGTTGTTGTTATAACATAAAGGTTTTGTTTCAAGCTCTGGAAAGTGCTAAATATAACACCTTATAACTGATTAACAAATAGATCTATCAGAATTTTTTTGCCATGCATTTTAAGTAAATAACACTCGGCATAACCCTGCTCTAATAAAATCAAGGAGAATTTTGCAATAAGGAGCTTAACTTTACCATAAATCTCCCTTCATTATAGTATTTTCTCTGTCAAGGAGGCTTAGATATAGAATGGCATACGTCTGCTTTGATGACAGATGTGCTATATTGAACTGTTTGTGTCACCATTAGTTGCAGTGAAGGCAAATGGTGGGTAATCTGCAGATCCTGGCACTATATCAACCATTACTACTCTTGCCCTCAAAAAAAAATTGGCATTCACATGTCAAAATCTACCTGTTTTTAAGTCTTGTAAGCTGTGGGGCTAGAAGAGATGGAAAAAAAGGAACTAGGAAAATATTGTGTTTGAGGAAGGAATTGCTCCGTAGGTTTCCTCATCTCAGTCCTAGGCAATCTCCCTTCTTTGAATTATTCTGGGAAAAAACACTTGTCCTGACCAGCTAGATTTTATTCAAGTCCTGCAGGGRAGCATATCAGGTCTTATTTCCTTAAGTATCCACAAAGATTTTTCCAGTCCTGTGAAATCGAGAAAYTTGTCCCCATGGAGAAGCCTAAACCTGACCTTAACCCATCCTTGCAATGGTGCAAAATCCACGGAGGGAGCTGGAGTGGTGGGAAGTGGGTCTGTACCTGCTCACAGCTTTTTGTAAGCCTGGAAGAGAGGATGTAATAGAGGAAGAATGTCAGAAAAATTAACCAGCTTACTTTGGAAAATATTTATGCTGCTCCTAAAGAGCTGCTATTTTTCAAATTTTAATTTCTCATTCTCTTTCATTTTTCCTCTCAAAATTCCCAGACCAAGGGAAGCTCTCTACAGATTAATACACCACCAAATTTTCCGTATTTCATGTTTTGAATATAAGAGGGAGAAAATCTCTCTGAAACCTAAATATTTTCCCCCTCTAAAGACCAGACCCATTTTTGGGGAAAATATGCAAAAGTGCTCTCCTCAGGCTGCACGTTGTATGCCGTTTCAGCTTAAAGCCCAGCTTTAYAGCAGATATATAAAACAATCAAAACTGAGGGATTTTGGGGAATAGTAGGAGATCTTTATTGTGACTACAGAGCAGATACTGACACATGGTGATAACGTTTTTGTCTTAATCGTCAAAAGCAAGCCACAGAGAACAAAATTTCTTTGTTTGACAGAAAAGCGATTGCTATTTCTTGTAAAACATATAATATATTCCAGAAGACCTAAGGGTTTGCTCTCCAATAAGGGTAGGAAAAGATGCGTGCCCCACTGTGAGCTCRCAGTAAGGCTGTTTCATGTAAAAAGTTGGTAATTAGTCCCTGAGTGAATAAAGTGGAAGAGATGAGAGCCTGCTACTTACGGCAGCAACACAAAATGTGTTTTCTGGCTGCTAGGACTTACAGGGTGTGCGGGTGGGAGGGGGAGACCTATTCCTACTCATTTAATTTACAAGCCTCTAAACCTTGAAAATTCATTTCTYACATTAAGCCTAAACATGTGTACTTTAAATTGTGACTAACCGATGTAAAGATTGATAAGAGACATTCCTGTCCTAAAAAGCGGGCAGGAATCGAGCGTTATTTGAGTGCACGGGAGGTTGCAGGGCTAGACCTGAGAGCAGTATCATGTCAGCCTTACCTGAGGTTTAGCCAGGTTAGCTCTGTAGTGTTCAGACTAGCTTGATCCAAAAGAAAACGTCTGGAAAACAAAATCATGTGCCTTTATCAGGCTTTCTACCATAAATGCCAAGAAAAACAAAACAAGCACAAAAGGAAAAAGCACAGAAAAAAAAAAAACCCACTTACAACTCTATAACTCATTGAATAATATTTGTAACATTAGAAGCTAAACATTAAGACCCAGAAGCAAAAACTGCATAGCATTTCTGTTCCACCTGCAAAAATCAGTGCTGCTAGAAAGAACTTAATATTTTCACAATGCCTTTATATTTTGCCCTCATTAATCTTCATCTTTAGAATTAATCCACCGATTTGGGATTTTCCCTCAAAAATAATGACATGGTTTAATAGCAGTTGTATTTTAGTCAAATGTATATATACACACACACATATATATATATATATATATAAAATACTGCTTTTGACTTGGAGAAATCACAGCGAAGCTGTGCATGATACCAACACAGACCCTCAAACTTCCCTCTCCGAGTTTCCTTGCTTGCTTTGCTGCAGCGTTTGCTGTTAATCCCCACGAGATGAAGGCACTTACCAAAGGGCATTTCCAAAAACCGTGGCATCTTTGCAGAGGCTTCTGGCACTCAGGTGGTCACCACCTCCCGCTCGTGCTGTCTGCTGCTGCAGCCTGTGGGAGGTGGACACACAGATGAATTCTCTAACGATGCCCCAAATGGTAATTATTTGACCTAAGAGCCACCTGATTCATATAGAAATAACCAGGAAAATTAAACATCTTTTTTTCGTACAGAAATAATCAGGAAAATCCTGCAAGTAACTAATAGCATCTTGCTTACAAACCTCTGGTCCTCACTGCAGTCAGCGTCACCGTAGGCAGGGCAGCTGCAGTACGAGCGTTTTCTCAGTCAGCATCAGAAAGATGCTACCAGATTAACTTTACAAAGTGCATCAAAAGAGGATTTGTTGCTACCCTGGCATTTATCTCCAATTCTGTGGTTTCTGAAGAAGCTTGGAGGGGCCAGGTAGGAAGGGAGACGATTTGCACAGGGGCAGCACCAAGCCCCGTCACCTGCCTTGCTGGTGTACACGGCCCTGCTGTCCCATATCAAAGAAAACCACTGTACTGGATCTCAGAAACTATATGCAGGTGAAAGGGYACCGTTCTTATCTGACATTCCACCCAAAGGACAATGATTTCATTTTATGAAGATCATTAGTCAGTGAAATATATATTTTAGCGGGTTTCCAGTAGGGGAGACTATTTTGGCAGCCACTGGAGTGTACCAGATGGTTCATTAGCATAGGCCGGGCAAGTCGGAGGCTTTCAGAATCATTTAGAAAATGTCAAACAGAAACAAGAACCCTGTCACTTTTTATTAGAATTAACTACATCAGACCCTGGACACAGATTTCACCTTGGGTCAGAAAAATTAATACAGAATTATATGAATGGTGTAACATACCAGGTTAAAGATAGGGCTTCCTCTCGGGACTCATTTGCTAGCAATATATTATGGTCTTCTACTTTCGGGATCCTCAACCTTTCCTTTCGTAGGATGCGAAAAGAGCTGACCTTGCTCAGACTCCATTGGTGTCTAATTGATTTGAGGTATATGCAGAATTTCAACAAGACCCTCCGCTAAGGCTCTTTTGTGATCATTTTCCCAGGAAAGTTGGCAAAAGGCTTCACTGAATATTCAGCAGCTTGTAAAGCATGCTTTTGTCAGGAGGAAAAAAGAATGCATCCGTTTAGTGAAGCATCGCCTTCGTAAACAGGAATTAAAATGCAATTCAACTCAGTTGTTATTTCTTCATTACTATTATTACTATTRTTATTCTTCATTCAGATGTCAAAAATCTTGAGAACTTCCAGCTCGTGGAAGGTGTTCAGGAGCAAGTGAACGCTGCTCTGCTGGACTACACCATGTGTAACTACCCGCAGCAAACAGACAAATTCGGGCAGCTCCTCCTGCGACTACCAGAGATCCGGGCCATCAGCATGCAGGCTGAGGAATACCTCTACTACAAACACCTGAACGGGGATGTGCCCTGCAACAACCTCCTCATCGAGATGCTGCATGCAAAGAGGGCGTAAATTATACCCATTAGAGCTTCTGCTTTCAAGGAAAATAAATATATATATATATACACACTCTGAACTGCTCCGAGCAACATTAACTAAAATGTGGTTTTAAGACTTGGCAAAATGGTATAATAATCAAATACTAATAGTAAATAAGTGATGTATCAGGGTATTTGTATTGCAAACTGTGAATCATATGCTACACATCCCCAAAGGAATCTATATAGGACTTGATGCTGGCATGAAGTGAACTTATCGGGTGGACGCTATCGCCAATGTCGACGTGAGAAAGGACGGAATGATTCTTGTATATTTAACTCTGCTGATTACCAATATGAAGAAATTTAGGGGGGGAATAAAAAAGCATATTATTGAGCTGAGACAGWGGGGAATTTGAGCGCACTAAATTCCTTCAATGTATAGCAGGACTTCTAAAACCCTTCCAACAGATGCAAAGCTGCACCTCCAGCATCCTCTGCCACCACTGCAAGGACCCAATCCTTCTCCTTCGGTGACAAGCGACGTGAGCAAAGAGGCAACGCGGGCAGCCCGCTAGAATGTCGGCATGGGTTCCTACCATGTCCCGAGGTTTGTCTTGCCCCGTGTCCACGTCCTTCAGGCAGGCAGTAWCCCTCTTCTTCCAGGGCTCGGGCACGGCTAGGGAACAGCCAAGTTGAGCGCTGCAAAAGAGACTCGGCGGCTCCAAGGGTTGAAACACAGCCCTGATGTGTCTTGTGGGCTGTTTCCAAATAAACAGGATCACAATGTGTTTTAGGACAATTTCCGACACCTAAGTAAATAAATAATCTTTTCTCAAGCTCCACTGAGAACAATTGAAATTTGTTAAATTTGTTTAGCTATGCAAGAAGGGACAAATCAACCGTAGGAGCTGATGGAGCTCACCACAGAGGGRGCTTGCTGAGATTTTTGAGTCACCTATATTGAAGAAAATAAATGTCCATTCAGAAGTCCAATGCATAAAGAACCATTCTCTTAGGTTGGGTAATACAGCTCTTTCGCACACAGAAAGAAGAGTGATACTGCCATGTCCACGTAGGCCAAAGTCTGCTGCAGAACAAATATTAGAGAAGAACAAACAATTCTCCCTCTGCCCAGATGGGATATCAGTATTATAACATGCAGTGCCACAGTTCTAAAGTCTTGCCTTATTTCATTATCCTTCAAGGTAACTGTGCAGGTGTGGATCAACAAACATTTAAAATAAAGTATTAATCTCTAACAATAATGAAAACATTAAGTGTTTACATTCTTTAGGTCCTGTGGGGGAAAAAACTGTGATAAAATTGCTAAGCAGTGATTTCCTTGATGTTGCTTTCAAATTGGTAATTATTTTACCAGTACTTAATTACTGTATGTCGTGAGACACTAAAATCAAAGGGGGGGGATTTCAGTTGGACTTTAATTTTTGAGATTATTGGCTGCACAATCACTTGTAGAAACTGTATAAAATCCTAATCCTTTTTTTTTTCATGAAGATTGCTGGCATTTGAATAGTTTATTTATATTGTATATGATAGTTTCCACTGTAGACAATTATGATGCTAATTTATTGTTCTTTGGTTTCATCTTTATATAAGATATAGCCAGAATGAAGAAGCCAAATATATGTGTTTACTGTAGCATGTCTTCAAGTTAGTAGAACATAGTTCAGGGACACACAAGGGTCTTTACCATTGAAATCATTCGCTTGATTAAATGTCTGTAAATCTCCATAATCCTAAATGTAGTTTATTTAAATCTATTGTAAATTATGTGAGTTGTAGCTTTTTCTGTTTCACGTGAACTTGGCAAAGCAAGGGGCATTCCCTTAAGGATTTTTTTCCCCAACCACTCACACATTGTATACCAAAGACATCGGTTATTCACGTTAACTGCATTGGTGCAAAATGCACTGTTTTAATCGCCCATGGGAGTCACCCCGAACGCTGTCCAGGTGCCAAAGCGGCCGGAGGGCCCAGCGAGACACACACACATGTAGACGACCCCAGACGTTCTTGCCCTTTCCAGAAGGAAAACAACACGCACGGCCAGTGCTCATAATTCTGCATTTTCCTCTCRTTTCCATTGGAACGCTCACTGCATGTTAAAGAGCAAAAACCTAAGCGAAATCCATGGCTAACTGAATTCACAGCACCGCTATCCGTATACAGGACAAAAGAAATAGAGCAAGGATGTAAGAGAAAAGCTAAATTTTCCATCCAGTTCAATGGAAACTGTTCTGATGAACTGACATATGTTTGCCCATACCTGTGGTTCCAAGAATTCCACCAGATTGCCCAAAGTTTGCAAAAAAACAACAACAACAAAAAAAAMCCCTCACGTTAATTGTTAACCACTTTGTAACCAGACATTTACTTACGACTGCCTTACGGATTCCAGGACGTATTGGTAAAAGCAGACTAAAACACAAAGGTTTGGGCTTCGGCTGGTTTATTATAGTTGTTCTGTGTTTGTAAGCAGACAATCTGTCATGTCTGATGTTTGTATCCCAGATGTTCTGCAGCTGCCTTGGGTTTAAATCCATGCCACTTTTAGAATGTGCAGTGAGTTACTTGGTGAAGTTAAAGTTCTCTTACTGTATCGGTGAAATACATATTGTCATGTCAGTTCTTGCCAGGAGTTTCTCATCACCAATGGAAAAAAAAAATTTAAAAATTCAGTATTTCAATAAATATTGATATGCCCACACTGACCACTTTTAAATTGTCTTTATAACAACAGCGTCCCACTGCACAAAGGCACGGGTGAGTCTCTATTTAAGAGGAATTCAGTAGTTAATACCTGCAAATAAATATATTTTGCCTCCCAGGGCACACTTGCCTTTCACTTTAAAGGTTCCCTAAAAAGAGTCAAGCAGCCAAAGCATCAGATGGGAAAGCTGACCGCYGAAAGCAAGGCAGGTAACTGGATCAGGCAGCTCTGCAGATAACCTCTCAGCAACATGAACACCCCATGGGGCCGGGAGCAAGTGCAGAGCTGCCAGCACACGCTGCCAACGGGGCAGATGTTGCTGCTGCCACCAAAGAAAAGCCTTCTCCCATAGCTGCCCTCTGGCTCGCGCGGCTGCTGCTCAATAACCATAGGGAAGGGATCCAGAAATTCCATCAGTGCAGCCCTCCTGTTGGGAGACCAAGTCTACCTTGACCCCCCGAACTGCCCTCTGCTCCAAGGGGTCTTCCTGGAGGTGCCAGATGCGGATGCTTTGGAGGGGTAGGGGCAAGGCTGGAATGAGRCACCTGCAACAACCGCACCTGAAGGAAGGTCAACAGGTCTAGAACTGCAATTAAAACAGTGAAACGGAGAGGATGAGGCAGCTTTGAGGCAGGAAGAGGCCATTTCTCAGGTTTAACACAGGGAAGGCTATCTAAAAATGTATGTGTTTCAGTGATATATTTAGAACAAGCTCTACAAATTACGAGGGGATTTTATTTTTAACTGAGCTTAACTGAGTTCTGGAGTAACCTCCTGCATGTTTTTATTGGAAACATGGAAAGAACGAGTTCAATGTAACACAGGTCAAGTCAGTACAATACTTAGTGAGCTTGACAATTTCCTGGAATGCCAAATGACACGTTTTATTAACCCCTGATGTGAAGCATCCAGGCTCCTCACATACCAAAAATCCACACAACGTTTCTACCTTTTTTTCCAGGGAAGTACTGTACGGGGGCATCTACCACACTCTAGCATCTGCTGTGGCAGCCCTAGGGTATTAAATTCACAGATAAACTGATAAATTAGATAAATTAGAGCTGAACAACAAGTCTTACAGGTGTATGCAATAAGSAGAGCCTTGCAATACTGCTATATCCCATGCATTTCCGTGCCAGTCCAGCACTCCCGGTTATGTAGATGCCTGCAGAGGAAAAAGTCATTTTCCAAGAGCAGTTGCCAACACCATGAAAAATCTTTGGCTCAGTGATAAAGACTTGATCTGCATCTGGTGCAGACATTACCTGCATTTGAGCTGCGTAGCAGAATCCTTGGGTTGTGATCCAGCTACTCTACTAGAAACCAAAGGGATAAGGGGAAAGGGGCTGGGGAAATAACTCCAAAAGAAGATACAGCAAGAAGGAAGCAAAGACATGGAAGAAACATGAAGATATTTATGTTTCATAAATATTTCATCTTGGTTCACTTCTAATCTGAAGGAAAAAAATAAATAAAATATGCTGGATTTTTATCATTGCTTTGAAGTATTAGCAAGGCCTGAATAAATTATCATTTTTGTATTTTAGGTTACTGCCACAGTGAGGCAATATTGTTAATAATAAGTAATAAGTGAATTTCAAAAGAAAATCATTTAACTTGTATAGTTTTCTTTTATAGCTTACAGAGTTTTCAGACAAAAATGGCATGGAATAATTGATTAATTATACTTAATCAATTAATTCAATTCACACTGTGAAAAACAGATCTTATTACTCAATTGCATTTGTATTTAAAATCAAGCAGCAGAGTTGCCTCACAAAGCCTTGTCAAGTAGTTCTCCAACTTAGTAAGYTCAGCTGAACTCTTCTACCAGGATATCTTGATATTTTCCTGTAGATCTCGTGAAAAAGAAAAAAAAAGGAAAAAAGAGRAAAAAAAAAGGAAAAAAAAATCATCTTTTATGACTTAAGAAATAGGGCTAGGAGCAGTCCAGGGGTGATCCCAAGCAGTGACTGCTCACCTTTAGCTCCTCTTCTCGTATCATAAGCAAAACTCTTCAGTCAACCTAAATCAAGCTTAGTGAACAAAGTCAGCCTAACCCCACGCACCAAGATCTTTGGAAGGGCTACCTATAGGTACATTTATATGTCAGCAGGGTGAAAAAGTAGTCAAGGACTCAATAGCGAGTTTCTCTGTGTTCAGAAGCAGCAAAGCAACCCAAAATGTCAAAACAGGAAAACAAATGCTGAGCCTGGTCCAAACAGGCTGAAGAAGCCTCAGCCAAAAGCAAGGCAAGGTCACCCACCAGCCTGCCACATCTTGGCTTGAGAAAACCAGCCCTACAGAGCTCTGTAATCAACAATTCCCAACAAACATTGTTTTCTGAGGGGAAAATAGGAAACATCCAAGAATTTTAGTACAAGAACTGCGCTAAAATCTTAACAAGGGAATCTAAGCAGAGAAATGCTATCACAGTTGGAAGTGATGTATTTTAAGACTGACACATTTTTGCTCCAGCAGTGCAATAGTCAACATAAGAAAACATCTCTTGCCAAAAAGAGGAAAGGGAACAAAAATTGTCTATTTTTTTCCTTTTGTTTGGATAGGCAACTTTGTCATAACTTCACCCCTTGGGCATCCTGCAGGAAAAAAGGGGAAAAACACACACACAAAATAATAATTAAAAAAAATAAAAGATTCCTCGGTATTTAAATACTTTGCAGTGATTAATAATGACATTGGGTCATCAATAATTTATCAAGGGTGGGAGCTGTGAAGGAAAAAGCCATGTTTTAATAACATGTGTTTTCAAACCATTAAGCGATATCTGATTTATTAGAAGATCACTGTCGTGATACCGTAGTTTTATCCTGACTTCTCTCCCAACTAATTGGCTAGACCTATATCTGCAGGCTTTTTGGAGCTTCTTTTCAGGTGAACAAATGCACATAACAATAACATATACAAAGCAAGAAAAAAAAAAMCCTCCAAAAAGGAAGTGATCACTTTGGGGTGATAGAATTGAGGCCAAGGACACGAGAACAACTCTGTCATCTTCCTGCTGGTCACTTTGTAGTTGCCCTGCTTTGTTTTAACATCTTCTCATGAAAGCCATGAGCAATACAATACAAACTGATGTAGCCAGGAAGAAAATTACAATTTGTTTATGCTTTCCAGAATTATTTTAGAAAAAAAAATCTGACCTGTTCCAAAAAATAGCTAAAAAGAGCTAAGAGATCTGAATAGCTAAAACACCTAAAGCTTTGCTTCAAGGGTTTTTCAAACCCTGCTAACATGCTATGAATTGCGGCGCAGTGAAGGGGAAGACGTACAGCCCTGGGGTTTGGGTGAGAGACCTGCAAAGCGGTGGTGTGGGAAGGAGGTCCCAGCAAATATCTCAGTGAGTGGTTTGTAAATATTAAGTATGAAAGGCCACCAAGCATATTTCCAGGAGAAGGTTGTGTTTCTACCACCATGTCATCCCCATAAATGGCTTTGGCAACCCTTGCTCACACAGCCAACCCTCAAGAGAGGGACCAGCTGGTCAGAAAACAGTATCTCACCTGGGATCAGCTGCTTTGAGAGTTTTTTTCAAGTTCTTCACCTAGGCATCCAAAAAGACGACGTTACACAAAGCCAAGGTTATGCCAGCACTGCTAAAAGACTGTAACATAACTTTCCAGTCTTATCTATGTTACAAAAGACTGTTCTTTTTGTCTAAAAAGGATGTAAATCTTTACAGGCAGATCTCTATTTTAACTGATCTGTGGTCAGTTATGTCAACTATAATATTCCTTATTCTCAGAGATGCCTGGAGGAACCATTAACCTTCTTATTTCTCGTAATTACAGGAGCAAGAGTGGTGACAGGTTCAGATTAAGCCCAGTGCCTTTTACTGGTTTGATTAGATTTGCCCTGGCTACATCTCAGCTGTTTTACTGGTCGTAGTTGATTGAAAATTGACCAAGACCCAGAATCTGAGTTGGAGATTGGATCAATATTTCTGCAGCTRCCATCCCATGGACAATAAAGAATTCCAAAGTTCTGCACTTGTGATGGTCTTAACTCTGTAGACATGCAAAGTTTTCTATTTAGCTGGGGTTTTGGATGTCAGGRTGAACAAAGCAGTGTCCTTCTCCAGTGTCCTTTAGGAGCATTCCTCTCCTCCCACCTACATCAGCAATGTCATTGCCATCTAGTGGTGAAGGCACCCTGATTTAAAATTTGGCYGTCTTGGCATATTTTTCCGTGGTGAAACCTGAAAAATGCAACGCTCACACGGAATACTTGACAATCCTATTGTAAAGAGCAAAAAAAAAAAAAAAATTTATACTGCAAACGTTGTTTTTCAGTACCTGGAGATGTTCTTGCAAGTCCCTCTCAGAGGGATTTGCAAACAATGGTCTTTTACACCTGCTTCTGCATCCAACCTTTCCAAACGAGGTAGAAGAGGAAATATATCAGCCAGCCCTGAATCCACCTCTGCAAATCAGGTAATGAGATCTTTCCAGTAACAAAACTACTTGGACATTTAAATTTAACTCCCCCACACTCCCTGAATTTTTTGTTCCTCCTTCAAACAGGGGCTTCACAAGCCCACAGCGAGACCAAAGGTTGGGTCTTGCTGGGCTCAGCTGTCCCTGCAGCAGCCACCTGGTTTCTGTTCTTCTGGACTTGTTGTCACACATGTTTTGTTTCCAAGTTTCACT